ATTTGATTACTCATACTACACAAAGAGTGTAGTGAATGTGGATGTAACACTATGCACTGTTCTGAATATAAGAAAAGCGCCCACATCTAAATCCCGATATTCTTTTATCACAAATTTTCTCAATAGAAAAGGCTAACATATAAAGCATATATAATATGTACTTGAACCTACTCTATGTTTGAATTCAAGGTATTTATGTCTTGTGGTTACAGAGATGCAACTAACAAAACATTCATAAGAATGCGTTGAATTATTTTGAGTATCGTTACATCATTTAATTGTTAATGTTGGATAAAAGTCAGAAGTTTAAAATTAATTTAGAAATCCGTATTCTTTCAATACAATAAGACAAAAATGCACTTCTATGATTCTATACCTACTTTTTATCATGATCTATTATTTGTTTCAATCATTTCGATAACTTTTCTATCGAATACTTGCCTTTTGTTACAGTAAACAGTTTTCACCATTGTACTTTTCAAATTTCTAATTCTGACTATTTTTTTAACTTAGATCTTGTCAATTTTTCTTTAATTGAGATTCATACTGTCTTGATTGACCAAATTTAACAAATTCTGCATCACTAACTTTAGAATTATTATGCCCGTGGAACAAAAAAATAATCGAGCACATCAAAACTCTTCTTCGACGATTTGCTATTGAGAATCCTGACAGTTATCCATTTATGAAAAATTGATCGAATAATTGAAGCTTTTCTTACAGCTATGCTGCTGTTAAAATCAATTTATAGGATTCGAACCGAATTAATACCATCGATATGATACCAATATACATATTGGTAAGATGCGCGGTAAATTCATTGTAGTGTAAACGAATGCTTGACATGAAAATTCAAAAAGTTCCTATGAATTTTATGTTAGTTACATTTGTGTGACTACACAAGATAGAAAATTCATTTCTATTGTTGAGTAAATCTGAATGTCTAATATAGATGTTATAAATATCAGCCTGTTCTATTAGAAAATTATGAACAAAAAGATTATTATTTGGAAGAAAACAACACTTATTAGATACTTTGATATAGTTACCGTAGCTACTACAATTAATTGTATATTTCATTTCATTTATGGTGTTTTTCGCTAATTAATATTGGATTTTTCCTTTAGCGCAGAAATCTTTGCATTTATTTGTATTGAAGTGAGATGATTTTTATTCAATTTTACTCAATACGCAAAAAGACAATTATTTTTTCTATTTGCATAGCACTTATTCATTTTATTCTATAACATTACTCGATCAAGTATCGAATAGGTAACGATTTGAAATATGAATTGAAAAATTTTACATGAAAAATTATCGATACACAGAGCTGGAAGTAAAAACAGTTGAAAACATAACAAATTATCTATTTTGATTTTATTTTTCGTTTGTAAAAATTCAAAAGAGATGTATTACAGCTCAAGAAAAGTCCTTGTCATACTCTTGATGAATAGAAATTAATGATGCAAAACAAAAAAAATAATATCTTGTCCTTCATGCTTAAACCTACTGTTTTATTGAGAATTAGACAGTTACGTACTAGTATACTTTCGCTCTAGGACGGATTCTCACTGAAGATACTTTTGAAGAGAAAAACAACGTGAGTAATTTATTCGGTAGAAGTTGATAAGTCATTACAATACAATTCAGATTATGTTGTTTTTTCTGAAACATGTTTGCTACTGTCTACATTGAGATAATAGATACACTAAGCCTACGTCTTAAAATAATCAATTTATAACTGATCTTTTCGTAGGATGTGGGTGTGGGTGTGGGCGTGAGTAGGTGTGGGTGTGGGTGTGTGGGCGTGGGTGGGTGTGGGCGTAGATGAAGAGTTATCAGATCCACACCTACAGCCACACCCACACTCACACGCACACCCCACACCCACACCCACCCACACCCACCCACACCCACACCCACCCACACCCACACCCACACCCTTTTTTTTATAAATAATGTGGATGCAGATGACACACTCTCATCCGTTCATATCTAAACTCACATAATTCACATTCACACTTGCGAGCTGTTAGTGAATCATTACAGAAATACACGTGAACGCGTATTTTTACACGTGACGACTAGCTTACAAGCATACACACTTAACGATCAGTGCTATTATGTATGAGTCTCTCTTTAATCGACAGATTAACTTTTAAACTTAATTCTTCTATTGAAGTAAGAGTTCATTATTGATTCAAAGTTCTCCTAATGCATTCAACAAAGTATGGATGAATTATTAATAAACCAATGAATGGAGCTTCCATTACTGTTATTATTTAAAAGAATAAGATATTACTTAAGCAACTCTCTCAAAATTTCCTTTTGCTTAGCAATGCTTCAATAGTGCCAATATACCCTCGGAAATTCGCTACATTTGAAGTGCATGTAAGGATACAAGTATGTAATTACACAAAGTATGCACTTCTATCTTCTTTTTTTTCATATAAGCAAATATATTTTTAGCAAATGAAATCATTCCACTGAGAATAAACATTTTGAAAGAGGTAAGAAATTCCAAATATTGATTTAAAATTAATATGGTATTGTTTTATTTATCTACAATTTATGAATTCTGTTGATAATACTAGATGACTCTAAGGTTTAATAACTATATTGAGTAAATTGTAATTCAGTGTACAATAGCGAATTCTAGGACAGTTTTAGTTAATATAGTAGATGATAATATAAAAGGTAGTTCATAGAGCATTGTTAAAAAGTGTAAAGTAAGTTGTCAAACAGGCATATTATTTTTCACTATTATTCTGGTAGATTATTATATATTCACATTAGAAAAGTTCTAATCGGTGAAGGTAGAAGTTTGTTTTCATGTATACACAGTAAATAAGTAGTTATTAACAAAAGATGCAATTCTTTTACATATTTTTTACATGGCAGAAAGAAGCTTCAGAGCTTCCAAAGAGTTATTAGACTTCGCTTCACAAAAACTCCACAAAAGAACCTTCAGAAATTTTTATTGCACATTTTGATTGACACATATAGTATAACAAATAATTAGTCTATTCATATTCATCTACAGGATTGTGTCATCATTACTTTTGACTTTAACATTTTAAGATACATCCAGAAAATTATATTACTAACTACGTGAAATCAAAGGTAAGATCGTTTTAACGTACGTTCTTTTTTAGGACATATCAGTGCGTGAAATATTCACTTTGTAGACAGGCTTATACTGTCTTTTTTAGTATACATTTAAAGTCAATATTTTGTGCATGTTTTCAAAAGGATCTTTTCTTCTGTGATAACAACACATATTAATCTGTTAAATAACATGGAAAAAAATTTATTTTATTGTTATTATCATTAAAAAATATTTAACAAAAACAAATTCGTTTTTCAAAAAAAGAAAAAAAGACCGATGCTTACGAATCGGACAGTTGATAATGGATATGTTCAAAATGAAAAAAAAATACTTCATTGTACGTTTCATTTTCGTCTAGTGAGCTTCTAACATTTAAAGGTAGCTAGAACCCTTGCAGGTGCCAGAATGTTTTAAAATTCCCGACGACTCGTACTGGTGACTTTAAGAGTTAGATTAAGCCATTATAAACAATAATGATGTTTCATATCTGCAAATATTATTAACATGAACTTTCGATTTCCTTTCTTGTTGTTATTCAAAAGTTGCAGTTTTCACAAGTTGAGGATTCCGTGAATATTTCTTGGGTATTTTCGATACCAATGGTCCACACTAACGAAGCTCGATATGTTATTTTAATCTATACTTTGGTTGGTCATAAGCAAGTAGCAAGAATGCCAGAGCCTTCTATATTCTTGGATCTCTAACAAAAGATCTACTATCAGCAAAAAAAGCATTTGAGACCAAAGGTTTTTCAGAGTAAAATGAGATTGTGTTAGACTTTTGTATCCTAAACAAAGATCTGCTCACCTCCAATGGAATCTCATTGTCTTCTACGTAGTTACTATTTCAAATTTATTTTACTATTCAGACCATTCTTGTGTAAGTAATTAGGTTCATTATTTCTTATAGACATCATTATTATAATGGGTCGTTCAAATGATACGTGGAGAAAGTATATTTTATGATCTTGGATTCAACTCTTTGCTGTTCCTATCTCTTGAGTATCGGTTACACTTCTTTTTCTTCGATGAATTTATGTTCAGATAAACATATGCAGCGCATCTGTATTTACAGAACACAAAAAATATATATGGATTGATCAATAGATAAATAAGTTAATATATTTCTAGATCAATATCGAATGATAATATCATGGATGAATATTTTCTAGTTTTCGAGTGATTTGAATCATCATCAAACATGCTGGTATCAAATATTTTAAGATATAGAACAAATAATTAGGAATTAATTTTACTCAATTTGTCTATCTTGCATAACAGTCTAAATGAACTTTTGGAAAAACCTAGTGTAACTCATTTTTTATAGATGTGCGAACACATTCAAAACCGGTCTTGCTTTAAGTTTTCAAATATTTCGTTGATCTCTCTAAGGATTGTAGATTTCGTAGTAAAGAATAATGCATCTACAATACCAAATACACACAAATCATTAAGAAGTAGTTCGATCATATTAACTCAGATTACTTTCAAGCGTAAAGAAATGCTGTAAAGATACATGAAAAGACTTTTTTATGATATAACCTGAAATATGAATTAATTACTAAACAAATTTGTTTTTAGTGATGATCTTGTTCGCAAGGACTAATTGTATTTTTACGTTCTTAAATAACATACTCACATTCTTGCTTCTCTGATATTTGTATGCAGAGATAAAGCTAAAAATTTATGAATCTTATGAAACAAAATACTATTTTTTTTTTAAAGAAATAGATGATTTTACCGATTGAATAATCAAATGCTTTACTTCTATGTAGAAGACAAGTGGAAATTATAGAATGACTCATCTCTGTGTCAAATTGAGATCGTTTATATCCATCTATCTACATTAGAAATCATTTGTTTCTAGATATCGATACAATATAGTTCATTCTATGGAGACTGACGAAAGTCGTCATACAAAGTTTTCTATTTTAATATCAATTCAAATACCATCAATCATTTGTTATATTGGTTTAATTTATCATATGATTTCCAATCGGCCTGCGTTACAAGCTGTTTATAATCATGCTCCACTTGTCATGCTTTTTGTTGGTGCAGCTACAGTCCTTGTCGATCTATCAATGGTTCTCAACTTTTTGCGTACTGGTATTGTTATTCCAACTTCTGATATTTATTGTCACATCTGGAATTTTATTGATTTTCTTCTTTATGCACTTGCCTCTATAATGATGCTTTGGCAATCAATCGAGAAACATATTCTTATTTTTCACTATCGACAATTACTCAATACACGAAAAAAACGTTTCTTCTTCCATTATGCACCACTCATTACTATTTTTCTATATCTTGCTTTATTTTATGTGTACGTTACTTTCATATATCAGTGCCAAAACAATTTCGACTACAGAAAAGTGATATGTGGTGGTTTATGTTTTGTAATTAACAATCCTGCATTAAGTGTCTTTGATCAATTTGCTCATACTGTCGTTCCGTCTATTCTATTTGTTATTTCAAATATAGGATTATGGGGTCGAATTCTTTGGCAAAAGCATCATCGAATGAGACGACCAATAGAATGGCGAAGACATCGGAAAATGATTCTACAATTTATTCCAGTATCTATTCTGTTTTCATGTGGTTATCTACCTTTTGGATTCGTTCAGATCTATCAAGCGATGAATGGTCCGACAAGTATGAGTGAAAATATACAACAAATATATTTTTTCTATCTATTCTATTTCATTTGCGCACTACATCCATTTGTCTGTCTAATTGGTATGCCAGAAATCTTTCGGAAAAAGACTCCTAGGGAAGATATACGTGTTGTTCCTGTTAATATTCCGCCAAGGAATCGAACACATAAGATAACTACGACTAATATGTAAATTTCATTGGCAAGTTGAGTATAGATTAATAACAATACATACATATATTACAAATCAGTTAAACTATTCAAAGCAATTTCTTGTATATCTTTTTTTTGGTCTAAAATTAAAAGCACGATGACAGATATTCCATAGTAATTAGCATTTGCAAGATAAAGGCTTTCAATTTGCACCATGTAAAAGCAAATTTAAGAAAATTCAAATGGACATCAAAGTCGATTGAACGGCTTCCTAATCAATGATATGGTCTTTTACTTATATATATGAAAAAAAATATGAAAATATTCTTCAATACACACATTTGCACTGAGGGTGGGTGTATGGGTAGGTATGGATGGAGATATACACCTAGACCCTCACCCACACCCACACCCGCACCACACCCCACCCAGAAACCCAAACTTTTCGCTTTCATTCACAGCTATATTTCTGCAGAATTACCAAACTATGTTTGTATCTTCTTCTTATGGAATTCCCAATTACATTATATTGATAGTTCAATTCTAATCTGCAGAATAACGAAAGATGATGAAAAGATGGAATGAAAGATAAGCAAAGTAATCATGTAGAATAGAAACTCATAAAGTTGTAAAACTTGTGTGCGATGAGTGCAACAAAGTAAATTCACTTGGCTACTGACTGACAAACAATGATCAATCGATTGGATGAATAGGAGTTCGTCATGGTATCGATTTATATCTGTCGTAATCTTTTCTAATCAACACTCCGATCATATATTAGCTCTGTTTATGATGTTTAAAATACTCTTTCTAGTCTTAGAAACTCTTTTAATGAATTACTCATCAAAATCAACTATACCAAGTAAATTTCAGTAATGGTATATTCCAACTTCGTCAAATGTTGTGTATGTCAGACGGGTCTGTTGTTTGTCAAATGATTCATTTATTATTTGCATCATGATAACGTTTTACTCACCATTTTTCTCTCTTTTGTCTCCTTCTTTTTTTTCATTCTTTCTTTTTGAATTCTTTTCAATTACACATACTCTATTGCAGAGAACTGCGCATAGCAACAAGAAAATATTCAAGGTAAAGAACACAAACCGTTTATAAATAAACAGGAAAAAAATCATCATTGTACAAAGAAATTCAGTTCATATGGAGTATAAACACCTATTTTTATTGTTGTATGATAAGTAGGAGTTGGTAGCGTTCAAAAAATAGACGATAATTAACATGCATAAACTTCATTAGGCACTTATGAGAAGATCTGATTATAGACAGCAAGCACAATATGATTTTTCTATAATTAGCTTTGCATTTTATTTCATTCTTCAATAGATGAAACTTACACTAATGATGAACATTAGACAACTTTTCTCTAAGATGATAAAAGGGTGGGTGTGGAAGAACAGAATATCTACATCCGCACCCACT